AAACGCCCTGCTCGCCCTACTGTTCGAGGTGGAGTGTACATCGCGTTCGGATCGACAGCCGCCGGACATCCAGGCACCGTGGCCGGCGAACGACGTGGCTCCTGGATGGCTGGCTCGCGTCGACGGGGCTGTTCTGATTGAACAGAGCCAACTCCTGGGGAGACCCCAGCACTGTCGGCAATGTAACTGCCACGTGGAGCTCGATCCACATGGCGCGCTAATGCCGAGAGCTGAGACTGAAGGCGCGCATGCCCACCTCGGCAACTGCACGTCGACAGACTGGTTCGGGGCGCGGCGACGCGTGCGCTGATGTCGCCTATCCAATCGCGCCCATGGTTTTGCCCCAGCGGGAATGCACCGCCCGCCTGCGCCCGCCACTGTGGTGTGATTAGCGGTGGTGATACCGCTGAAGCTGCTGGAGTTGCTGGTGTTATTGGCGCTCCTGAAACTGGCGCGGCTAGCGGCGCTTCCCCCGATGCTGCCGGACGACCCAATGACGCAGTTACAGGAACCGTCGGTGCTGAGGCTTGCGCGCGGCCAACGAGATTGACCATCTCCCATCGGGTCGTCGCACTTCGGCTTCGAGCGGCGAGGGCGAAGACGACGACAGCGCCCCTGCCCGAGCTGACAAACTGCGGCGGCCAATGGTTCGCCACGTGCCGCCCGACGAAGATCTCGGAGTAGCCGCTGGGACTGCTGGCCGCGGCGCGGGCGCCGCTGGATTTGGCCGCCCGCCGCTCCAAGCGAGCGCTCCGCAGTGGGTCGCCGTTCCCGGCGCGCCCGACCACGGGCCGAGACGTCCCAGAGCTGCCCCTGGTCACCCAGGCCGCGCGCGCCCCGGGCATGGGCCGCTGCTCGGAAAGCCCAGGCGGCCCTTGCAGGAGCGAGCTGCGAGGATAACGGCGCGGACGGCGGCGCTCGGGCGCAGGCGTCGAGGAAGAGCGCGCGCCCTCGCCGGCGGCGCCGGGGGCAGTCCCGCACGAGGTGCTCCTCCGAGTCGCACTCGCGGCAATTAAAACGCGCCCCGCCACGACCCGCAGGGTTGCCTTGGCGGCCCGGATCCTTGCCCGCGGCCCCGAGCCCCTTCCCCCTTGCGCGCGCCCTTCCCGGCGCCCGCGAAAGTCCCCCAGGTTTCATTCTCGAACAAGGCGGCTAGGAAAACGCGGCAGCTCCCACATTTGCCCTTGCCCTTCCGTTTTTGATGGCCCTCCAGACGCGGCGCGCGGGCCCGCGATCGCTGCAGCTGCGCCCGCGTGCTTTGGCGCTCTCGCAAGCCCAGCAGAGACGCGCGCCACGTCGTTCCAAGGGAGCGTCGCGTGGCTCGAGGTCGTCGGCGGCTCTCCTCGCCGAGTGAACTGGCTGCGTCGGCGCAAGTGCCCAAATTGATCTCTGCTGCCGGGCGCGCCCCCTGCGCCGGCGGAGGGGCGCGGCGGCCTCCAGACGCGGCCTCGGCCGGCGAAGGGAGGCTCGGCGCCGCTCCCAGCGCGGCGCGACCCATGCCGCCCCGGCGCTGCCCCTGCGCGGGCGCGCCCGCGAGGTGCGCGCGCCGCTGGGCAGGGCGGGCCGCCGAGGCGAGGTTGCCCGGCGAACCCTCTATCACGCGACCCAAGCGTCTCAGACGGCCCAGCGCGCGGGCGAGCTGCTAAGCGCCGGCCGCGTCGCAGCGCCGCAAGAGAATTGCGAATTGCGCGTTCGACGCGCCAGCTGCGCGCAGCAGGAGAAAGCTGAAACCTTCGTAGCCGATCATGAATTGACCTGCTTGCTGCGCGCGGTCGCGGAGGATGTCGAGCCTCTCCAGGAGGTTGCAGGTGCGCCCCCGCGGCAGCCGATTAAAGCTTATCAGAGCCGACGCAGCCGAGGCGCCCCCCTGCCCAGTTGGCCACGTTGTTCGGCCAGGCTGCGCATAAGGAAAGACGGTCATCGGTGGCGCTGGGTCGCCGCTGATGGCACCCGGTGGATTTGGACAGCCGGCGACCATTCGTCCACGCACTTGCGCACCATGCACGCGAGGCGCGACGACACGCAACGCAGGCCGCCTGGCGAAACTCGTCGAGGCCTCAGCTCGCCACTGCCCAGAGCATCACCTCGCGCGCCCATTTCTGGAAAGGCGCGCGAGCCTGGTACCCGGGCCCCCAGGTGCGGAGGTGGCGCATGTCGCCGCTGCCAACACCGGCGTCCACGCAGGCGATGCAGCTTGCGATTGCGCACGTGCCGATTCAGATGGCCTTTCCTCCGGAATGCGGCCCCCTCCACATGTCGGAGAAATTATCGGGGCCGGGGGTCCTCAAGCGGCATCGCATGAGTCGCGGGCGATGCTTGCCCCAGATGCGTTCCTTCTCGCCAGCGCAGCGGGCGTCTGCTTCTGTCGCGCCAACGCAGCGCTCGCGGCACTCGGAACATCCCGCGACACATTCACGGGGATGTTCTTCGTACGTCGCGCGGTCACTGCACTGAGCATCGCCCATTGCACAATCGTCTGGACCAGCGCATCGGGCCCCCGCCCTGCCCAGCTGGCGGGCAGTCGCCGGCTGCCTCCTCTCGCCGGCTGCCTCCGTTCTGTCATCGCACATGTGAACGTTGCGTCGAGCAACTGTCACAGTTGTCTGAACCCTGAGGCTACCCCCACAGGGGGGCGCTGACAGTTCGGGGTCCGGAAGCTGCCCAGACACAGTCCGAGCATGCCCGGAAAGGGTCGCAGAGCAGCCCTTGTAGATCTTGGTGTTGTCCTTTATGACGTACTGGTTGCGCACGTTCTCGGTCACTGGTCCTAGCGGATGGGCGGATGCCCCGACGAACCCTCGACTAACGTCTCCTGCCATGGTGAACGTGAAGGAGGTGCATGACGGCGGAAGTGTTGAAGGCGACGCGCACGTTCCCAAGTACTGGTCCTGGCGGATGAGTTGGTACAGCTCCGACGGAACCTAAAGTAACGTTTCCTGCCAGAGCGAAGGAGAGGAAGTGAACAAAGGCGTAGATGTTGAAGGCGGCTGACCGAAGTCGACGGCGGCGGAGGGTGGACACCATTGCGGTCGACGCGAAGCGAAACATGGCGGCCGTGGTGGGAGCCGGGGCGCACCTGCTCCGTCACCTACTAGAAACGGAGATGTGAGAAAGGCATCGCTGTTTTCCGTAGAGGAAATACAGCATGTGATGGTCTGAGGCGAATTGACTAAGGCGGTCACGGAAGCTTGGCCAGCTTCCGTGCCCCAGAGCCAAATAAACAGCAGCAAAGGGAAACCACTACAACAGGCAAGGGTGAAAAAAGGACAGATGAGCTACCGTTCGAGTGGGAGAAAGAGGAAGATGAGGAGGAAGAGGAGGAAGTGGAGGAAGTGGAGGAGGAGGACGAGGAGGGGGAGGAGGAGGAGGAGGAGGAGGAGGAGGAGGAGGAGGACGACGACGACGAGGAGAAGGACAAGGAGGAGGCAAAGGAGGAGGAGTAAGAGGAGGAGAAGGAGGAGGAGGGGCAATTGGAAGAGGGGGAGGAGGGCAATGGGAGGAGAGGGGGACGAGGGTCTCGGGAGGGGAGGCGGGGGGAAAGAGCGAGGAGGGAGGATGGGCCGAATATCGGCCGTAAGCCTGGCTGTCGCTGCCCCGATGGCTGCCACGAGTCCGAATTCACCCGCCCTGGCCACCCCCTTCACCCGCCCTGCCCACACACCCTCCCACCCCTGCCGAGGCCAGCGGCGGTCCGCCGTTGCCTAAGCTACCCCCCAGCCGTCTGCATGCCATCTGCCCGCACTGCCACGGGAGGAGTATGGGTCGACGGCGAACCCTTGGGGAAGTGAAAAAGGGCGGGCATGTTCAAAGGCTCGGAAGGCCTCGGGCCTTTGGGGAAGATTTCGAGGCCTTCCCCGAAAACATCGAAAACTTCTCAGAAGGAGCGCGGGCTTCTGAGAATTCCCGCCGCCTTCTGAGAAGAACCGCCACAGGGGGTCGGGTAGAGGAACTAACAATGATGAAGGGGCCCTGGGACACACAAATAAATAGACACACATAAAAGGATTCCCCCCCTTTTCGCATATGTTATGGGTTTTTGTCTTCCCCCCCACTTCCCATATTTTCCCATATTTTCCTGGGGATCGACGATTCATTGTGTCTGTGTGTTTTCCCCTCCTGAAATGACATGAGCATAAGCTTTCGAAGGCCAGCACGGATTTCGCGGATTGGCGCTGCGGCTCCCCTGGCCGCGCCTCCGACGCTGCCCCTGGCGCGCTGCGTGCGCCAGGAGGGGTGGTCCAGCGCCGATGCGAGAAATCTGCGCGGACCTCCGCACACTTCTGTGCACGTCACTGCTTTAGGGAACCGAGCGCTACACACCGACCCGTGTTCCGGGCCTGCTCTGAAACTTGCAAACGGTCAAGCGGATCCTGGTGTATACGGGATCCTGGTGTGTGCATTTTCGTTGTTTCCCGAAGGAAACGGGGAAACAAGTATACACCATACCACCCCGACGTCGTCCTCGACCCTCAAAAAATCCTTGAAAAACAGCCCGCCACTGGCAATGTATAGATTCCAATATCCGATGCTTATTCCCCAGTGGGTTCGATGCACGCCTCCGCACGTGGCGGCACGCGCGGCGACGTGCATCGAGCTGTTCCAGCAAACGGCTGGCGTCGTCCAAGACGCGAGGAGGACGCACGCAGGTCAGGTGAACCGTCGACGCACGCCAGGGCAACCAGGCAAGAAGAGCCGATGTGCAATTCGGATGACGGGGCAAGTCACCAAGCCGGCCCGCAGCAGTCTCAGGCTTCGGCACGGCTCGCAGACGGCAACAAAGTCAATGACTGGCAGACAGCAAAAAACACCACTCATGGAACTTCACCTCCTGGCCCAAGCCTGAAAGTCACCTCCGCGGAATTGCCTCACTCCAGAGCACCGAACCCTGTCTCCCGCTCCTCCCACTGGCTCGAAGCAAAGTACCTTGCATCGGGGCGCCCTCTAGTGGGCGCCAGGGTGCTATTGTGCTTGCGCCGCCACGACGGACGACCACCGAGGCCTCAGACCATCCTGAGCTGGTAGTCCCCGTTCTGTGTGATGTATCGCACCCACGGCAAGGCCTGCCCAAACTCCCCCTCCTCCTCCTACCCCTCCGTCTAGGCATCCCCCTCCTACGCTTCCTCTCACCAGTGACGTACATTCTCCATTCCATCCAACAAAGACGAGCCGAGCCGTACACGCCAGACCAAGGCGGACATCGGACGACGTACACAAACAACAGTAGCAATGGCACCATTGCTCGACCAATACAATGACGACAAACGAGACGCGGAACATGTGAAACGATGTCGGGAGTGTGGCGGTATCCTGCTCCGAATGCGATGTGCCTCAAATCAAACCCGTTCCTCACGGACCTCACTACACTAGCTCAGTCCAACAAGTAGATTGTCTTTCGGCCCGCCTTCATGGCAAGGCATTCAGGTCTGCACTAAATGCCCCGCATGCCAATGATTCGGAACACCTGTGACGTCACCAGGAGCTCGGGTGTTCTGTCTATGGTTTCGAACTCCCTGACCTGTGGTGCCGAAATCAGCGCTCAAGAGTCTTGCGTTGTCGTGTCATGGCCACAAGGAAGGAGACGTCGAACAGACAGACAGACTGACAGACAGAGCGGTCTGCTGACGGGCAACATGGGCCGTTCCCTTTGCGGCCCCGGAGAATGGCGCCTGGGCATATCGAGCAATATGTATACATACATACATACATACATACATACATACATACATACATACATGCATACATACATACATACATACATACATACATACGTACATACATATACATATATCTATATACATATACAACTAGGCACATGGAAACTTGTACATTTGATCTGTGATTCGAGAAGAACCTCGGAGTCTTTCGGAAGCCCTTAGGAGCATCCCGAGGCCCAGAACCTGAACTCCTTTTCCTTTACCGCCTGTTTCGGTTTAGGAGAAGGGGGCCTGTCGGCCCCCTTTCAGGAGCATGAGCGCTCGGTACTGAAGAGTGCTTTCCACCGCATCCTTCGACCTTCGTTGTTTCGATGTTGACGACGCATGCTAGCATTTGAGAGTCCATCCACATGTGGTAAGCGGAGCGACGGCAACGACAACAGTCACGACCCAGACAAGCGGAACTGGGAAATCGTAGACGATGAGAAGCCGAAGGACAGAAGGGGCGAGCATCACGACAGCATCAACGACGGCACCACGGAGCACTGGCGAAGGTGGAGACGGCAGGGCAGAGCAGCACAAGATCTGGATTCGAGAACGGGCCACGGGCATCAGGTCGACTGGGGAGCTTGGTGGGCAAGCGTCGACTATGATGATTGGTTCTCTGAGGAGAGGTACGGCCAGACGTTCGAGAAGAGCGGATCGGACACGCACTCAGACAGTTCGCATTCGAGAAGATTCGGCACGCCAGAACAAGTCAAAAAGGCGGTGGTGGCAAGAAGTAAGCAAGAGCGACATGACGAGTACGGAGTAGACCACCGACGAGGAGCGCGCCGAGGAAAGGATCCTCCCTGCCCGTCGTGGGACGGCAAGGATCTCAGCGAGTGGCCCGAAAAGAGGCTGGCGATAGACAGGTGGAGTCGACTCACGGCGGTACCACCAGAAGAGCAGGGAGAGACGCTACTGCTGCACCTGACGAAGGAGGCGGCGACGGCGACACGGCATCTACGGCCAGGGAATGTGCAGTACCCAGGAAGGCTTCAGGCCGTCATCATGGCCTTAGACACGCTCGCGTTTCCAGAGGCGGACGCGGAGACCTTCCAGCAGCTGGAGAAGACGCTGCTCGCGGCACCGAGATCGCGCGATGAGACGCTGATGAAGTTCACCAACAGGATCAGAGCTGAACAGAAGGAGCTGGTCAGGCTGCTGCCCAACGCTCTCAACGAGACGGTCATGGGATTTCTACTACTACGTGGAGCAGGACTAGCCAAGACGGAGCGGAACCAAGTACTCATCCAGACGGGGTACGACTACGACGTGAACAAGCTGGTGGCGATTCTCAAGCGCATGACCGACGATAATACGGTGACCGACAAGACGACGCCCACGAGGACGGCCTACCTGGCAGGAGTACGAGAAGAAGATGAGCCAGCACCTTCCGACGGCGACGAGGAGGACAACATAATCTACGACGCGATAGCGAATCTGCTGGGCATCGAGGTCGACGAGGCAAACGGCGCAGGACCACGAGGAGACGCTGACGGAGGCGGAGGCGCTGGACTACCTGGCGGCGCTCGTCGCACCTCCACCGAATCCCAGGACATGGGGAGAGGCCCAAAAGATCGTCGCCGGCAAGAAAACCAACAGGGGGTTCTGCGACATCAGGGACCGTAAAAAAACCGAAAAGATCGAGGACATCAAGAAGCGGACCAAGTGAGGCATCTGCAAGAAGCTAGGACACTAGCACAAGGAGTGCCCCGACAACCCCAAGAACAAGGTCAAGCCGACAGGAGGTTTCATCGCGATGCCCGTTCTCCAGGACGACGAGGTGTGCAGCTACATCGCTTCGGAGGCGAAGATGGCGTCGAGGTCCAACTGCTTGGAGCACGTCAGCCTGGCGGTGGACATCGAGAAGCCGGGCAGACCAGGATGGGGAGCAGTAGACATTGCGTGCGGCTTCAGCACGATAGGCCTCGAGACGCACTGCGCGTGGGCCAAGCACTAGATGGAGCGCTACAACATCAAGCTGGAGACGATGCCCTACCACAAGAAGTATCGCTTCGGGAACGACCAGGTCTGCACCGCGACAGAGGGCGTCATCATCCCGATCATGCTCGGCGAGTTCGGCGGTGTGATCTGCGCGTGCCGGGCCAGGGGAGCCGCGCCACTGCTCCTGTCTAAGACGCTCGTCGCAGAGCTGGAGGCGTCTTCGCGCGCGTTCCAGTCAGAGCTCGACCCCCCAGGGCAGGATGTCGGGCCTCCCTTGGCACACGCTGGGGGGGAGCACTTCCTGCTACAGCTCGACCGCTTCGTGGAGCCGTGGAGGAAGCCTGAGAGCCGGACGCTGTGCACGAAGGAAGTTTCGAGGGACTTCGGAACGGGTGCTGAGTAGATCTATCCATCGACATCTGCCTCGGGAGGCCCAAGGGCGCCCCACGGGTCGAAACGTGCTTCTTCCCGGGAGCCCTGGGCCTCACAGGGGAGCGACAAGCACGTGGACGAGCAGCAAGAAGGCAGAGAGCAGCAGAATCAGCACGAGCACTACGAGAAGCGGCGAGGGATAAGCAGCAGGAGGAGCAAGCAGACAGGGTACGGAAGCAAGATCGACAGGATCAACTACACGCACTACAACTTCAGAGCCACGAGCAGGAGAGCAACGACGGCATAGTCAGCAAGAGCCACAGCAAACACAACGACAGGATTATGGAAATGATCAGAAAGAAACGGAACGACGACAACAGAAAGCTTTCGAATAGCCCGTTCGGCTCGTGCCAAATTTCGCGGACAGGTTTCCCGAGAACCACCTCAACCAGTATGTTTCCATATCCCCATGTCATGCGACGAGCCGCTGAGTTCCTCTGTTCGGCGCTCGCAGCCTTTATCGTCGCGAGGGTCCGCGACATCAACGGAACAGGCGGAGGCATCCACCGCCCAGGCGAATCCTACTCCGCACAAGGCGAAGGATCTGATGGAGCAGTTCAGCACGCAGCGCGACACGACCCACCAGTGGTCCTGGCACAAGATCTGCAACAAGCCCATCCCGCCGACGGGAGCGATGATGTGCAGGCACTACGGGATCATCAACCACGGGCCTCGAGTCCCCACCATCGGGACGAGGGCCCGGGACCACGACCCAGCGAAGGAGACGGACTGCATCCACGAGTTCAGCAACCACGGCGGCAACGCGAAGGCCTTCTACGTCCAGCGCAGCGGGTGCAAGCTTCACTTGGAGTACTATCCGAGAGCGGCGAAGGGGATGCAGGAGGTGACCGCGAAACTGGAGGAGTTCAAGAGCGAGGAGGCTTGGACCAAAGGCTGGAAGCCAAGGAGCAGGAGGCCGAGGCGACAGCGACACCAACGAAGTCCAAGCCAACAACCAGGACAACGAACAGCGGACCAACCACCCGGCACCAGGAGAGCGAACGGGACGATCAGGAGACGCAGGAGGACTGGGAGAAGCTGGACGAGTCACCTCGGAGCAAGGCGCTACAGACACTACGCCAGCTGCCGAAGGACGAGAACGCCAACGAGACGGCCAACAAGCTGGTCGAAAACTTGAGGGAACACCTCGAAGCAGACATCAGCGACCTGTGAACCAACTAAGCAAAAGCAGAACAGCATCATGAACAAGTCCATCAAGCAACTCGACAAGGCAGACATCCTCAGGCAGGCGATCGACTCAGCCATCCCAGAGAGCCAAGTCTTCATGAGCCAGATCGAGAGCGAGTACGAGCAGCAGATCGAGTACCTGGACGAGGACACAGGAGCGACCAGGAGCATCACGAGCAGGGAGGTCATGACGCTGATGGGCCTTCACTTGATGACCAGAGCGGGCCAGCAGGAGGCCTGGAACGAGATACCACCCAAGGACATCTACAACACCCAGCTGGAGGAGGAGATCGGCAAGCAGATGCTCACTTTCATTTCAGACGTGGCCATCCAGCAGACCAACGACGGAGGGCACTTCTACTATGAGCAGCATAACCACCCCAGAGACTGGGAGGACAGGCTGGTCAAGAAGCTGAGACGTCTACCAGAAGTGGATCAAGGAGAAGCGTGGGCGAAAGAGCGAAGCTACGTGTCCAATCTACCAGGGCCGGCACTGGAGTTCGGAAGATGCTGAGCCAGGAGGTCGTGAACAGGGCCACCTCAGACGAAGCTGGGAGACGTCCACGAGTCGCTTAAGGAGCTGACGGGAGCCCTGGTAAGGTCCATCGTGAAGGAGAAGGTGACAGCGCAGGCCCACGAGAGCAGCGAGGACAAGACAGAGGAGGAGCCAGCAATCTGTACACCATGCTGCGCAGCACCTACGATACCAGCGAAGGACGAGAGGAGCACCGACCCGCAGGTGAAGCAGCAGGTTCAGAAGATTCACGAGAACATGGGGCACTGCAGCAACGAGAACCTGGTCATGGTCTTGAAGGACGGCAAGGCGCCACAAGCCTACATCGAGCCAGCACAGCAGCTGGAGTGTCCGGGTTGCGCAGCCAACAAGCGACCAAAACTCGCCGAGCCTTCTGAGGCACCTACCACCTACCAGCTCAACGACGTCACAGGCATGGACATCTTCTTCGCACTGGGCCCCGAGAACACCACCAAGGCCCCCATGCTGAACATGGTGCGCCATGGCACGGGACACCAGATCGCGGTACCACTTCCTAGTCGACATGGACACCAGATGCGGCGCCATTATCGAGCAATCTGGAAGCGGGTCTACGGCACCCCGTGCACGATGGTCATCGACGGAGAAACAGGCTTCCTGAAACTGCAGAAGGAGACGGGACCGAGGTCAAGGTCGCAAGCGCTACTTCACCATGGCAGGCGGGCAAGACAGAGCGAGCTGGAGGCACCTGTAAGGAGACTTTCTGCAGGACCAGGCAGAAGTTCGACACAGCCAAGTGGGACGACTTCTACGAGTTGGTGGACTCGGTCAACGTGGCCATCGGTGAGAGCGCACGGAGAGGAGGCTTCACACAATAGCAGCGGGTATTTGGACGACCGTTCAGGCATCCCGAAAGGATTCGGGTTCCCACAGTCTCTCCACGGTATCGAGGGCTATGAGTGGGGACACCGAGCTGGCCAGGAGTATCGACATGCGCAAGGCGGCGACAGCAGCTTACATCGAGGACGAATGCTCGGAGAAGTGGAGGCGCGCACTCAAGAAGAGGACCAGACCTACGAGGGGGACTACCTTCCAATCTGGAGACAAGTATTACTTCTGGAGAAGCAGTACCGACAAGCTACATGTCCGCTCATGGCATTGACCAGCACGGGTGATTCAAACAGAGCTACAAAAAACCGTCTGGTGTTCGTATCAGGTAGACGTGCTGAAGTGTTCCCCTGAGCAGCTTCGACATGCTAACGAGGGAGAGGCGACGGCCTGGGAGCAGGTAGACAGCACGACGAAGGAGGAGATCAACACAGAGAACCGCGGTCACCGCAAGTACGATGATCTCTCACAACCAGATGGACCTCCTGAGGAACAAGAAGACAAGGTACCACGAGCAGCACCACCAGAACCCGCACAGGACGATCAAGCACCGTCGTCATGGCAGCCACCCATCAAGGAGATCGAGAAGGCAGGGGACGTCAACCCGGATCCCATTCCCATGGCCACGATGCGCTACGACCACCTCGACGACATTCCGTTCACCATCAAGCAGAAATCTGACTTTCCGAGCTCAGCCATGCCGGCGACAGAACGCATCGCGACCATCGAGGAGAAGATGGCTAAGGACGTGGGAGCTCCGCCCACGAAGGCACAGCACTACTTACAAGCACCAACCAGCGACTTCGTACGGAGATCACCGAGAAGTCCCTGATGAACACGTACAAGTACCAGCCCTACATCGCGGCGAAGCGACGGGAATGGGGCAACATCAAGAACGCTCAAGCTGCACGTGTACTTCCACCTGCTGAAGCTGAGCAAGTACGTCGGGATCCTGAACTAGCTTCGCGGATCATGGGCTCTCGGTGGGCGTTGACCGACGAGGACGGCGACCCAGAGGAGGCGGACGCAGGCAAGAGGCAGCTGATGTTCCTGGTCGACAGCACGTGGAGTATGGCAAAGGCAAGATGTACGGCACAAGGTCACACGTATCCTGACTTACTAGATCTCGAGACAGTCCCGTGGTCGGGAAGGACTCCGTGTTCTCGAATCTACAGGCTCTTTGCACAAGCCAGTGGACGCTGCACTTGGCCGACATCACCTCAGCCTTCACCGCAGGCGATCCCATCGATCGATCGCAAGGAAGCCTATACGTGGAGTTACCTCGGACAGGCATCCCAGACGTGGAGGGAGGTTCACTGGTGGAGCTACTCAAGGCGGCTTACGGACGCTCCATCTTCGACGGTTACGTCTTCTACCTGCGCGACGACAAGGGACCCCATGGCGTCATGGGTTTGACTGTGGACGACATCATGGGCGGAGGTGACAACCTGTTCGACGAGGCCTGCAAGAAGCTACGGGACAGGTTCCCATTCGGAGCCTGGCGTCTCAAGAAGGGCAAGTACACGGGCAAGGAGCTCATGCAAAATGACGACAATACTGAGCATCGTGTCGCAGAGTCAGAGCTCCGACAGCATCCAGCTCATCAACATTGCGACGGAGAGGCGCAAGGAGCCCCAGTCAGAAGTAACTCCTGAAGAACTTTATCAAGCAAGGAGCCTGCGCGATTCAATTTCCTTCTTGGCGCGCGAGAGCCGACCGGACTTATCAGGGCCAGTGTCACTACGCTCTCGCACCGAAGGGGCACGGTGCATTGGCACCAGCTTCCTTAGCCTAGCACGGTTCTGACTGTCGAGTGTGTAGGAGGAGGGGGGGAGGAGGAGGAGGAGGAGGAGGAGGAGGAGGAGGAGGAGGAGGTGGAGGAGGAGGTCACGGTAGTTGACCCTGGAGCCATTCAAATCGTAGTGGGCAAGTAAACAGCCACCAGAGCAGGGCTGCAGAGACTCGCGATATCAGGGCTCTGTTGCATTAAGGCTTGAAGTTCTTGAGTGATGCCATGTTGCGGCACGGGGCAACTTTTGTATCATTGATTGGAAACTTCCGTGCGAGGCGATACGGTATCAACGTATGTGGGTATCCTGATTAGGCTCATTAGTGGGGCGAGAATATAATAGGATATTGAAGCACTGGAATCTGAAGGTGTTGGGGTATGAAGTTATCGGGGTCTTGAGGCACGAAGGCATGAGTCGTTGGACAGTCAAGGCATCAGGGTAATCAGACGTGAGGGCGCCGCTGTATTATGGCGTGCGTGTCTCAGGGCAGCAGGGTACTCGGCTGCCTTGGTGTTAGGGTAATTCGGTATCCTGGCCTTCGGTACGCGCGTCGTGTGGTACTCATGCAAAAGGGTATACAAGATGTTGAGCCGCGTCTTACGGCAGCATGACATTATGCGATTCAAGCGTGAGGGCGCTCGGGCGTGGCGTCATGTACTCAGGCAATGGAAGACGACGAGCTTCCAGGGCGATCCTGCCGAGGGGCCTGGCAAAGAACGCGAAGTACCGAAATCCTGCTCAAACCGCAGAACATGGACTGGTTCTCCAAAAGTCTGACCGAGAATCGACCTTCCTCCTTCTTGAATCACCCACCAGCCTCGTTTCACGTGTTCTCCTCCCACTTCATCCCCCCATGCTCCTCCCTCCAATCTCGTCTCTCATCCCTTCTCTCATCCTCCCTCCTCCAAGATCTCCTTCTCCCTTCTCATCCCTCGTCCCGTTCCTTGTCATACCAACCCCTGGCACCAGCCTGATAGCCGGACTTCTCTATTATCTTGAGGTATCTGACCGTCACCCCAGACACGGTGAAGTAAGGGATCTCAAACTTCACACTGATCGGAGCCTGGTCACAGATCAGGGGGAGGAGAGAGAGAGAGAGAAGAGGGAAGAGGGAAGGGGGAGGGAGCGGAACTCGAGCATCACATAGACGGAACACCGCCACAGCTCGGATACGTCGGTGACCCCTGCGCCCGCCCAATTCTCCCCCGGACGCTCCTCCTCCTCTCCGCCCCTCCTCGTCCCGATGCGTCCTCACACCGTGTTTCCTCCATTCTTCCTCCTTAGCAACAACTCCCCCTCGTCGCCTCGTCGTGCCGCCAGACGAGTCGGTGTGTGGCGGTCGGGGCGCCTCGCCTTGGGCTTGAGATTCCCAACAGCTCTGCGGATGGGTTTCGGAACGGCGCTGTCGTCTCAGGGCCGCGCACGCTCGTCTCAATCATGTCATTCAAATACTCGGACGGAAGGAGAACATGTTTCAGCAAGGGGCTGCCGTCTTTGAGACGCGTGCACTCGTCTTCAGAATTTCCGACTTGACAATCTCCGACCCTTCAAAATGGAGCTCGCGGCGGAGCACCGTGCAGACTCGTCTTAAGAATACCCTCCTCGTACAAGGACCCGTTTCAAACATGGGGCCCACGCCTCAGCGCCGCGCACATTCGTCGTGAGAATACCCAGCAGCTTCCAGGATGGAGGGCGGTTCCTTCTCAAGACGAGACTCTCTCGCTTGAGACTTCTTCTCCAAGAATGGAGACAAGGGTAAGGTGGTGCAACAACGACAAGGATGGAAGGCGGTTCCTTTTCAAAACGGGGCTCTCGGTGGACACTTCTTCGAGTATGCGGACCATGCGTTTCCGAAACCCCAGCAAGCAAGGAGGATGCAGGGCAACTCTCGTTCACAACGGGGCTCTCGCCCTAATGGCAGGCTTCAGAGACGCTCGTCTTTCAAACCAGGTGCCTCAAGTGGGGAAGAAGCATGCCGGCAGGGACTCGCGAGGAGGGACTCAAGAGGACCGGAGGGTGCACTGCAGCATTGCTGATCCACCACGGGACTAATCTGGTCCTCCCCACCTCCTCCTGCCCGGGCCTCCGTCCTCCGCACCCTCCCCCGGTCCCCTCCCCACCCCACCCGTCACTCGGGCAGGCCACGCTGCAGCAAGGAGCTGCGCCTTTGAACATCGTCTCTGGTACTGCACGGGACGACAGAAGCTCAGCTTTCAAAAGGCGCTCGAGCTGGAGTTCACACCTCCCACCAGCCGCAGGACAGTCATGCTGCCGGCGACGGTGCTTGCCAGTCCGACTGGCTAGCACAGACTTGCTTGCCAAAGGGCACTCCGATTTCCCGCCCAGGTGGCGAGCCCAGGGGGGAGGAGGAGGAGGAGGAGGAGAAGGAGGAGGAGGAGGAGGAGGAGCAGGAGGAGGAGGAGCAGGAGGAGGAGGAGGAGGAGGAGCAGGAGGAGGAGGAGGGGAGGAGGAGGAGGAGGAGAGTGAGGGGGGGGGGGGGGGGAGGAGGCGGCGAGCCCAGGGGGGGAATGTAGAGGGAGCAGACCTTCTCGGGAGCTCGGAAGGCCTCGGACCTTCCGGGAAGTCTTCTGAGCCTCCTCCGAAAACGGAGACGGCCTCCCAGAAGGCCCGAGGGCCTGTGAGAAGCCCCGCCGCCTTCTGAGCAGCCAAGGAGGAGGAGGAGGAGGAGGAGGGGGAGGATGAGGAGGAGGAGGAGGAGGAGGAGGAGGAGGAGGAGGAGGAGGAGGAGGAGGAGGAGGAGGAGGGCGGAGGAGAAGGAGGAGGCGAGGGAGGAGGAGGGGGAGGAGGAAGAGGAGGAGAAGGAGGAGGAGGAGGAGGCGGAGGAGGCGGCGAACCCAGGGGGGAATGCAGAGGGAGCGGACCTTCTCGGAAGGCTCGGAAGACCTCGGACCTTCTGGAAGTCTTCTGAGCTTCTCCGAAGACGGATTAGCGAAAACCTCCCGTCGCGATTTTTCCACAACGCGGGGGGTCTGAAGAACTCGCCCATGGCACACATGCACTCAGGCAAAGACGTGGGCACCGCACCTCACCTGCACTACACCGCGGGCACGTGGGCACAGCACCACGGACACCGCACAACACGACGGGTTCGCGGTCGCTTGGACTCGGCACATGTTTTCCGTTGTCAGGAGGAGGAGGAGGAGGAGGAGGAGGAGGAGGAGGAGGAGGTGGAGGAGGAGGAGGAGGAGGAGGCGGAGGCGGAGGAAGTGCGGAGCGCGACCATCCCTGCTCCACTCACCGCTGCGCCAGCAAGTAGCAGCCCCCTGCCCGAGAATGTCCCGCGATGACGCGCACAGGGCGTGGACTGGGCACTGCACTGCGCCGAACACTCGAACTCGTGCCCGCGCACGCTGACACGGCAGCGCGGCACGGCACACCACAGCACCGGGTAGCCAAAACCTCACGCTCGGGCGCATCGGCCTGGCACCGCGCGCCACGGCACGGCAAGTGACAGCCAGATTGGCTCTCGAGTGTGGCCACGTCGCTGGAGGAACAGAAAACTGCATAAACATCGACTTTCGGAGGGCCGCGCGGAGTTCTTGGATCGGCGCTGAGCCCCCCATACCTGGCGCGCGGAGCGCGCCAGGGGCCACGCCACAGGGCTGCCAGGGGGGCCAGCGTCGATCCAATACGTCTGCGCGGAGCTCGGACAAGGAAGGTTCGAGCGCTGGCCGCGACGCGGGCCTCCCCGCGAGGCGGCCGGGCAGTCTGCACTGGCTGGGACCCTCACAATCTACCATGACGGGGGGGTGAAGCCAAATCCACTCAAAATCGGTCCCTGGACCCCTCCCGGTCTCCATCTGGTGCAGTTCTCCCCCCACGCGGAGCCCGAACACGGCCCCCCGAGGCCAACAAAGGCAGAAGCCTCCCGGAGCCCGGAACCTCGGACCTCTTCCCCCGCCCTCCTGCTGGCCGGAACCAGTGCTGGGCCACCTCGGACCCCCAGGCGGCTCGAGCAGTGGGGGTCGACGCGTGTCCCCCTGAGCCAGTTCCGCCCCCCCCCGCCCTGCGGTTCGGTCGGGCGCGTGCCCTTACAGGCGGCTTTTGGACGAAGGATGAAAAATAGTCCAAAAATGCTCAAGAAATTCGCCGGCCCAACGGGCCAGGGCGTGCTAAGATCTCCGGTACCTGGTTAACAGTATTTCTAGTTCGCGCGCGCGGGGCGGCCCCTGGGGGTCCCCGGACGAAAAGTACCCCGGCAAGGTCCCGGCAAGTCCCCGGCCCCGGCAAGGTCGGGTCAGAGATGCCGGAGTTCTGTTTCGGAGTCCAAGAGGGCTCCAGATCGGTCCAAGAGGGCCCCGAGAAGCTTTCTAGACGGTCCAAGAGAGGCCCGAGACGGCCAAAGATCGCCCGAAGACGCCCCAGATGGCCCCAAGACAGCCCAAGAGGCCTCCAAGACGCTCCAAGGGCCTTCCAAGAGGCCTCCGAAGAGGGCCCCAAGTTGCCAAAATCGTTGATTTTCAGTTTTTTCTATGTTTTTTTGCGTTCTGGCCTTTTCGCTTCCGGACGCTCCAAGAGGGCCCAAGAGGCCTTCAAGACTGCTCCAAGACGGCCCACGAGGCTCCCAAGACGGCCCCGGAGCGGCCCAAGAGCGCCCCCCAGACGGCCCAAGTGCTGCCCAAGGCGGACCAAGAGGCCCCAAGACGGGCCCAAGAGGGGCTCAAGAAGGGAACCGAGAACTGAAAAATCGAGCCCTCCGCCCCAGAAGGCGCCCAGGACCCCGAAAGAGGCCCCAAGAGACTCTCCAAGACACCCCCAAGACGCCCCAATAAGCTCCCGTGAGGCCCCAAGAGGACCAACAACGTCAGGCCCCAGGCCCCAAGAGGACCAACAAATACCGCCAAGAGCCCGCCGAAAGCCCCCCAAGAGACCGTCACGAGAGCTCAGGAGGCCCCCTGGAGGCCTCCCGAGTTCTCCAAGAGGCCTAAAAAGAGGCGCCAAGAGGCCCCAAACGGCCCCACCGAGGCTCCAAGAGGCCACGAACGCGCAAGCAAACGCCTGCGATGGCACAATGCGGGCCGGCGGAATGAGCGAAGCGATTAAACAAATGAAACGTGCTCAGAACAAATCGTCCCCAGACTACCTGTTTGACTATTTCTGAATCTTCCTCCCGTGGAGTGGCAGGCCCGCCTCGGCCCTGCGGCCCTCGTGCTGCCACGAGGAGGCGCACGCCAGGGAACCGAAGGGGCGCTCCCGGCCACGGCGGGCCTACTAGGCGCGGACCTCCGAGGGGGCACGCCCCTGTGCCGCCTAGCTCGAGGGATCGAGGGGCAGAGGGCATCCTCCTCCTCCTCCTCCTCCTCCTCCTCCTCCTCCTCCTCCACCTCCTCCTCCTCCTCCAACTCCTCCTCCTCCTCCTCCTCCTCCTCCTCCTCCTCCTCCTCCAACTCCTCCTCCTCCTCCTCCTCCTCCTCCTCCTCCTCCTCCTCCTCCTCCTCCTCCTCCTCCTCCTCCTCCTCCTCCCTTTCTTCATCTTCTTCTCCTCCTCCTCCTCCTCAGCAGCAGCAGCATCATCATCCTTCTCCTTTGCCTAGGAGGGGCAGAGGGCATCCTCGAGGCGGGGAAAAGAGAAGGGACTCGAGCGCTGGCCCCGACGGGGTCCTCCCCCCCGGCGGAGAGCGCCGTGCGACCTGCCGGGCGCGGTGCTGCGGCCGCGCTGGGCGCCGGCGGGGCCACTTCGCCGGTCGCCCTGGCCGCCGGCGTGGGCCGCCGGAGCCGGCAGGCGCCGCGGGCTCGAGGCGGCGGCTGCAAGGCGGGCCAGAGCTGCCCTTGAAGCATATAGGGCGCCAAGGGTATACACCACCACCACCACCACCACCACCACCACCACCACCACCACCACCACCACCACCACCACCACCACCACCACCTTCATCCCCCCTCCCCTCCAGCCTCCCTTTTTCCTCTCCTCTCTCCTGGGAGAGGGAGGGGGCGAGGGAGGCGGTGGTGGCGTAGATCTCTGGTCCCCGCAAGCATGCTCGACACTGTATACATGCCCCTGATTCCGCCCCGACACCCACGAGGGGCCAGAGCGGGGATGTGGATGAGATCCTGGCCTCCGAGGCCGCGGCTTTTTGTCCGTGCCCTGCTCCCTCCCTGGCGCCCAGGAGTGGGGGGCAGCAGCAGGGGTGTGGATAGAGCGTCGGTCGCCGAAGGCAGCCCAGAGGCCCAGAGCTGCCTTCGGAGTGTAGCACCGCACCTTGTCGGCGACGAGCCCGCGGGGAAGTCAGAGGGGGCGGGCCTTCTCGGACGTCCTCCGACCTTCTGGGAAGCTTCTGAGCCCTCCCCGAAGACACAGAAGACTTCTCAGAAGGCGCGAGGGCCTCTGCGCAGCCCCGCCGCCTTCTGAGAAGGCCTGCCCCCCCTCTCGGACGACTCGTGGCTCTGGGATCGTCGCTGGGCCCTCTGGCGGCCGCCCGGGACCATCGGGGCACCCCCCGGAACGCCCTCGGCGAGGCGCCGTCCCTGAAAGGCATCCCGAAGCTGGAGCAGGGCACCTCCTGAGTGGCACACAAGAGCGCTCCGAGAGGGCCCGAGACGGCTTCTGGACGGCCACGTAGGCCCTCCGTGCGGCCCACGAGGCCCCCCAAGGGGCCCCCAAGAGGCACACGTCGTCGCATCCCCATCCGGCCCTCACAGCGTCCGACACGACTCGGCCCCCGAGATCGCCCCGAGGCAACCCAGGAGGCCCCCGAGAGGGCCCAACGACTGCCCAAGAGAGCTCCAACACGGCGAGCTTCCGACCTGGGCGCGCCGCCGAGCTGAGCGGTCGAAGCGCTCTCTCGGCCGCGCGGACACCGACGCCGCGCGGCACCGTGCCGGCACGGCGCGGCACCGTGCTTGCCGACTTTCGCTCCGCGAGCGCGAGCGCGTCGGCACGAAGCCGCGCGGCACGGCGCGACACAACAGCGGACAACCGACTCCGCTCGCACGGGAGGAGGAGGAGTTGGAGGAGGAGGGGGAGGAGATGATGGGGGAACGTTAGGTTCGAGGTTCGAGGTGCGAGGTTTCCGGACGCTCCCGTTGGTTCTCGGCGGCTATCCAGCCTCGGGTTGCCTTCCAGCGGCTGCGCCTCGACGAGAACGTCTCCTGGGGGGTCCCGGATCGTCCCCAACGGCCGCCGGAGGCCGGAGCTGTGACCCGAAAACCGCATCGGGCTGAGATCGAGCCGAGATCGGCGAGACGTCGCCGATGGAGCGGCGACAGGCCCCCGATAGCGAACTCTGCACGGTCCTGGGCGGGGTGCGCTGTGGGGCCTCTGTCGGCGAGGAATGGGTGGTTTGGGGGGTCGAGGCATCCGCCCCCTCCCCTGAGCCTACCCCCCCCCCTAAGATTGGCCGTTGGCCCCGGGGAGAACGAGGAGGAGGAGTTGGAGGATGGGGCGGACATGGCCGCAGGAGCACGGCACCACGGAGCACGGCACCGTTCCACTGCCTTCAAACAACTCGGCCACGGCCTCTGAGACTGCACAGAGGAGAGGGATCCCTTGCAGATCTCGCTTGCTCAGGAGAGAGACATCGCGCTCGGCAAGGCCTGTGGCCAGTGTCTCCCACAGCGCGCGCAACGATCGCAACCCTGGGTCCACAAGACCAGCCACGCCGAAGGCCCTGCAAGCCGTGGATGTCGTAACAGGGCGAGTTGAGACAACGGCGGCTGAAAGTCGGTCCCTGGCCCTCTCCCGCGGTCCAAGCGCACCAGTTTGCCGAGCTGCGTACAGCCCTGGCGACGAGGGGGCCCCCCAAGGCCAACCACCGCTGTCTCAGCTCGCCTTCCTATGAGGACAGCAGCAGGCAGGTCGAGGCGCCTTCATGTACGATTCTCTGTTGTCAGCTCCGACAGAGGGAAGACCGAAGTTGGCGGTCATGATGAAATCCTTCTGCCCCTGAAGCGGCTCCGCTGAGAGGGGCGCCAGCGGAGGTCGGAGAGCGGAGGGCGGAAGAGGGAAGAGGGAGGAGCAAGGGAGGGAGGGACGGGGAGGGAGGGCAGGAGGTTGGGTGGTTCGTGCCAGGGAGGAGGGAGCCAAGCGAGGGAGGGAGGGGGGGGGGGGAAGGGGCAGGGAGGGGAGGGAGGGAGGCGGGAGGGAAGGGGGAGGGAGGAAGGAGGGAGGGGAGGGGAGGGAATCCCGGAAGGGTGGAGGGAGGGGGGGGAGGGCACTCTGTGGATCATGATTCGACATCCGACTCTGCGATTTAAGAGATCTACGCAATAATAAGGGATGGGAGGGAGGGGTAGGAAGTCAGATATGACGCTTGCGCGTCTAGCTTGCCCTCTCTCCTCTCCCTCCTCCCCTGTTGGTCTGCTCTCACCAATAATTATTCCCTCGCTCCTCACCCTCATCCCATGCTCCGTCCCTACTCCTCGACCTCTCCTCCACCTCCTCCAACCTCCACCTCCCTCCAGCCAGCCCTCCTCCTCTCCCCATCCATCCCTTTCCCTCTTTCCTCCTTCTTACTCCATTCTCCGCCTCCACCTCCGCCTCCTCCTTCTCCTCCTCCTCCACCTCCTCCTCCTCCTCCTCCTCCTCCTCCCCCTCCTCCTCGTCCTCCTCCTCCTGAAATTGTGTTGTGCAAGGATTCATGATCAACGTTGATTCGCAGAGTTGAAGTCCCAGGAATGGCGTTCTGGCACGATTCAGGATCGTCCAGACGCAACAGTTAGGTTGATCCGTTGCGTTGGAATCCCGAGAACAATGTGTTGGCATGCTTCACGGTCTTCAAACAGGTGTCTTCAAACGAAGCGGTTCCCTGTGGAACTGAGCCTTTGTAGTGGCCTATGAAGAGGGAGCTTGGACGGAAGGTTGATTCCAACATCGTCGATGACTCTTGGGCTTACACTGGTCCGCCTCCGCCTCCTCCTCCTCCTCCTCCTCCACCTCCTCCTCCTCCTCCTCCTCCTGTTCCTGCTCTTCCTCCTCCTCCTCCTCTTCCTCCTCCTCCTCCTACTCCTCCTCCTCGTCCTCCTCCTCCTTCTCCTCCTCCTCCAATGGCAACCTGCACGCGCTCAGACCGGCACGTTGGCGAGCTGCGGGAGTGCGAGAGGTCCCAAATGGCCAAGACTGCGCTCGTCGGTCAGGAGACAGGAAGGGGAAGAGAAATGGGTGGGAGGAGGAAGAGGAGGCCGTGGAGGATGAAGGACAAGAAAGGGGACAGGGGACGCGAACAGGTACGGGGACAGACACGGTGCTCTCTCCACAATGATTCACGGCATGGTCGACTGTCTTATCCTCGCGGGCGTCAGGGGAGCGGGACGAGCAGTCGCACACCGCCCTCGAATGCGAGGCTGACGTCTTGTGTTCCGTCTCGTCCTGCGTCGTCGTGCAGTGTTGCGTGCTGTACTGTCTGGTATCGCGCTGTGCTGGAGTGTGTGAGGGCGCGCCGCTGGATGACCCCAAGAGGGGGGGGGGGGGGAAACCCCCCCCTCCCCCCTTTCCCCGATCCGTCGTCTGGGACCCCCCCCCTCCCCCCCTTTCCCGATCCGTCGTCGGGAACCCCCCCCCTTCCTTTCCTGGTCCGTCGTCGGGGACCCCCCCCCCGTTCCCCCCTTTGGCCGCCAAATTCGAATCCGCCCCCTCCCCCCGTTTCGCTACGGCGCCCCCGGTCTCCGGAACCCGACCCCTACCACCCCTAACACTAATCTCCACCCTTACACTAACCCCGAAGCCCGAAGCCGAACCCCAAACCCAAACCCTAGCCCCAGACAGCACTCACTACTCATTACGCACTACTCACTACCCACAACTCACCACTCGCTACTCACTACTCGTTTCTCACTACTCACTACTCACGGCTCACTACTCACTACCCACGGTTCACTACCCACGACGCACTACTCACTACTCCCTACTCACTACTCAAGACAAACTACTCACTACTCACTACCCACTACTTAGTACTCACTACTCATTAAACACAACTCACTACCCACTACTCACTAATCACAGACCACTACTCACTACCCACGAACGAATATCCATTATTCACTACTCACACTTCACTACTCAGTACTCACTGTCCACAACTCATTATTCAGTATCCACTACTCGCTACTCGCTACTCACTACACAGTACTCACTATTCACTACTCACTACTCGCTACTCCCTACGCCCTACTCGTTACCCAATACGAACTATTCACTACCCACTACTCACGGCTGACTACGTTCCCACTACTCACTACTCGCTACTACCTACTCCCTACCCCCTACTCCCTACTCCCAACTCACTACTCACTACTCACTACTCACTACTCACTACAACCTACTCACTACTCACTACTCACTACTCGCTACTCCCTACACGCTACGCACTACTCCCTACTCACTACTCACTAGTGACTCCTGTCTACTCCCTCCTAATTTCTCACTATTCACAACGCCCTACTCGCTACGCACTATTCACTACTCGCTACTCCCTACTCCCTACTCCCTACTCGCTACTCGCTACTCGCTACTCACCACTCACTACTCTCTACTCTCTACTCACTGCGCACTACTCACTACTCACTATTCACTCCTCGCTATTCGCTACTGTCTACTCCCTCACCCCTACTCCCTGCTCGCTACTCACTATGCACTACTCACTCTCATTCCTCCCTATTCACTACTTCCTTCCCACTTCTCACTACCCACTACTCACAGCTCACTACTCACATCTCTACGCGCTACTCACTACTGACACTACCCATTACCTACTACTCCCTACTCACCACTCACGACTCACTGCGCACGACTCACCATCAAATACCCACTACTCACCAATCGCATCGCTACTCAAAACACTCTACTCCCTACTCGCTACCCGAGAAGCCCCCTCCCCAGCCCCCTGTTCGGCGCAAAGGGGGGGAGAGGGGGGGGTCAAACCCCCCCCTCCCCCTTTCCAGCGCCAAGGGGGTGAGAGGAGGGGGTCCGGAATCCCATCCCCCCCTTCAAGGGGGGGGTTCGAAACCCCCCCCGTTAAGGAGGGGAGGGGGGGGGAGTCGAAAATCTCACCCACCCTTTGAAGGGGGGGAGGGGGGGGTTCTGCGAGCACACCCCCCCTTTGGTGTATTCAGGGCCATCCACTGGCGCGCTTTCGGAATGAGTGGTACTGTGTCGTGTGTTGTCGTCGTCGCCACGCGAAACCTCACACGACCTGCCCGCGACAAGCCCCGCAACCCACACCTCGACCCACTCACCCACCCACCCCACACCCGCACCGTGACGCATCCCGCGACCCGACCACCCCGCGGCCTGACCCGCGACACCCCGGCGACCCGCCCCACGGCCCACTCCGCGACCCACGTGCCACATCGCTTCGAAACGTGCAAGACACCTACGCCAGCGGCGGGCTGCCTTGCAGTGGCTCAGGAAGACACCACCAGCGTGTGCCCCGCCCGCGCGGCCGGCCCACGACCCACCCCGGGACTCGCCGACACTGATGATACGACACCTGCACAGCGAGGGCAGGATCAGCCAGCATCGAACCAGTAAATCGGATCGAATCGAAAGTTCAGTCGAATCGAGCTGCGTCGGCACGGAGTCGAACTCGAATCGGATCGGCTGCGCAAGGGTGCACTGCAGCGCCGTGCAAGCATCGGTCCGCATCGGATCGTCGGGATATCGGAATCGAATCGGATCGAGCCGAGCGCAACCGAGATCGAGTCGGAGTTATCGGGTCCCAACGAGAGGGGCCCTCTCAGACCGTCCCCGCTCGCCAGGGCCCAACCGTTGTGCACAGGGTCCCGCGAATGTGGCCCCAGGCGGCCAGGGCCTGGCTACGCAGCCATGGGAAGCGTAGGAGGAGGAGGAGGAGGAGGAGGAGGAGGAGGAGGAAACGTAGGAGAAGGAAGAAGCGTAGGAGAAGGAGGGCGAGGAGGAACGGGAAGGGGACCCCTTCTGTCCCAGAGGGCCTCCGCATCTCCGAGAAATTGTCCCTTCTGTCACAGAGGGTCAGCATTGACACCTAATCTGAGTCTCGTTTCACCGATCCCCATCCCCAGCGGCGTGGCCTGGGCCCCACTGGCCGATTTGCCCCCCTCGGTGGGGATGTAGGTCGCTCCCTTCGGGTTTCGAGGGGTGCATCCCCAACTGGGGTGGAAATTTGGTGGTGTCTGGAAGGGGATGGAGATGGGGACCCAGACCCCCGACGTCGTTTTTTTTAGCAACATCGACCCCCCGAGGTCTGGACCCCTTCCCCGGGACCGGTTTTTCGTTTGACGGTCCTGAGGCCCGGGAAGGGCCCCCGAAAGCCGCAAACATGGAACAACCGCCCGTCGTGATTTTTCACAACGCGAGGAGGTCTGGGGCCTAAAAATGGGGATCGGTTAAACGATAGCCGAGAATCTTGGCCTTTGGATCACCAGGAGGGAGCGATGGCCGAGGCGAGTCTCGGCGGCGAGCGGGCTCCACGACCGGGCCCTGCGGAGCGGCCCGCCCAACGGAGCCCCTCCCCAGAGCCCCAACCCTCCTCGCCCGGGGCTGGACCTCAGCGCTTTTTTTTTCTGCTTGTTCGCTTTACCTTCGCCTTGACTTTCTTCGCTCTGGTCCGCCTGCCTTCCTGCGCCCCCCTCTCCCAAGACGGAAAAAAAAGCCCGGCCGAAGTCCAGCAAGGCAGCGCTCATGGAGGAAGGAAACAACTCAGAAACACAAACTTTTGGCGCTCCACGGATCCGCGCCGGACCTCCCTCCCCTCCCTGGCGCGCGGAGCGCGCCGGGGGCGGCGCCGGAGGCGCCGCCAGGGGGCCCCAGCGCGCATCCAAGCAATCCGCGCGGAGCGCCAAAAGTTGATGTCCATGGTCTTTGTCCTCCTTCGAGCATAGGTCCAGCCCTGCTCCTCGCGGCGTCGTGGCGGGCGTTTTCTGGCCACACCGCTCGGGAAACGATGCACTACAAGATGGGCATGCAAGACTTCTCGGTGCGCGCGTCGCCCCTGGGAGGGGGGGCGGGGAGGAGGGGAGGGGGGGGGGGGGGGGGCGACGCACACATAGTATAGTATGTTGGTATGTTGGGGTGGCGCCGAGAACAGATCATGGCATAAGCATGCAGTTTCGGAGCTCCGCACGGATTCCTTGGACCCGCGCTGGACCCCCCTCCATGGCGCGCGCGGGACCCCCCTGGGGCGGCGCCAGTGGCGCCATGGGGGGGGGGGGGCAGCGCCGATCCAAGAGATCCGCGAGCTCCGAGAGCTGGTGTTTTGGGGTGGTTTGGTGGGCGGTGACGGGACCTTCCTGGAGCCACTCGCTCCGCTAATGCGTCGATGCTGCGCCTGACGTCCGTCGACTTGAGTCGAGCGAGGGTCGAGCAGGAGTCGAACTGGTGCCGGCCACCAGGTTCCACCCACGAGGCACCACCGGCAGGGTCCGGCTGGGAGGTCCCGCAGGTGGGACCCCAGCCATGGAGTCCTGGCCGTAGAGCCCCGCTCATAGTCAGGGTCCCGCCCATGGAGTCTACGCCTTGCTAGTGCTGTTAGCCCTTTTGCACTGTCTGGGGTCCCCGCGCCAGAATCATGATGTAGACATGTTTGATATGAGCTTACCGTCGGTAACGTCCATAACTGCGCGTTCAAGATGTAACGGCAGCCCAAAGGTGAACAGGGCTTGAGCGCAGCAGCCACTTCGCAACAAGATGAGCTTTCAAAAATGACGCAACAGTTCAAATATCGGCTTCAATGATGGCGCGCTCCAGCCAACTGCAGAATGCAAGACAACGGCAGCACGCGCACCTCGCAATTCTTCAAACCACGGGGTCCCGTGGAAACCTTCGTGTCGCTCCCAATTTTGAACATGAGTCGGCGCAGAAACACGTAATGCGAAACAAGTATCACATCTACGCGCGGGGCTCTGTGATCTCTTTGCTGCTGATCAACCCACCTCCCGAGCCAAACGACAAACTCGGCGACACGTTGGTCTAACATCTCAGCGGTCTCCACGCGTGGAAAGGGATCCGCGTCCGCGCAATGCGCAAAGTTCACATGTGGGAAAGCCTTGCGCGCATGCGCCAATGGCTTCCGCATATTGCAAGGCTTCCCCTCGCAAGAAACCTCGATCGGAATATCAACGCCATGTATATCGTGAATCTCACAAGTCACAGCCTCTCGCACAGACTCCAGTGCAATCCACTCGGTCTGCTGATCTGGGGGGAACAGCGGCAACACGCCAAGGGTTGCCGTTTCCAGCGCACGGTGCAAAGTGGATGTTACGACAAGCCTGCGAACGGGGCTTCCGTCATTTTCCCGCGCGCTGCCCTGCAAATGGACTTGGACTTCCTTCGTTGCACCATCTCGTCCATCTTCTGTCAGGGGGGCGTCGAAAAAAGCAGCCTCATGGTATGCCCGACCAGAGACATCGCCTTGTTCGCGATACTGTTTGCTCCGAGCATTCGCAGTTGACTCGCCGTGCCGAATCAAATCCGCCGGCGCTCCTTGCATGGGCAAGCAATTTGCGAAGGCTGGGCTTCGGGAACTGGGCAACGTAATCCCCATTACGTAACACACAGCATTGCAACCTCCTCAGAATAACGCACGTTGGGCAACTGCGACTTTTCTGGTGATCATGAGACCCGAGGAGCTCAGAATGGCTCAGCTTATCACTCGGTGGCGATCCAACCTTCTGAACCCGCGTCGCCCCCCGGGCACGGAAGACACGTCCCAAACACGAATCGCGCCCTCAGACGCATGGGCCCCCTGGCACACGCCAAAGCCTATCTCGGGCACAACGAGGAGCACTGCTGCTCAAGCCGCGTACTGCTATTGCTACTGCTTGCTGTCGACTGCGGCTGCTTAGTGCTGGTGGTGAGCGTTTTTTTATTCGGCGTTTCGACATTGGGCTCAAGGGGGGGAGGGGGGGGTCTGGCTCCGGACCTCTGCTTAGTGCGACTGTTTGCGACAGTGCGTCCTATGAAGGGAGACTCCCCCTGCCTGAAACAGGCGCCTAGAACAGCCAGGATCTACTCCACGGGGGGGGAAGGGGGAGTTGCGAGGGCCCGCGCCGATCGGCAAAAGAATGAATAAAAAACGCTCACCTGCTTGCTGTCGTTTGCGGCTGCTTACTGCTGCTGGATATTGCTTGATGCTGCGCACCGCTGGTTGCTTGTCTTTGCCACTGTGCTCTGCTGAGGGCTGTCGCTCGGGCAGTTCTTCGTGCCTCGTTGGAGCTCTCTTGGAGCATCTTGCCTTCCAGCCTTCCCAAACTCGGGGGCGCGCAAACATGGATTAGCGATCCATGGATTTGGCGCGCGGTCGCCGAATCCATGGATCGGGGAAGGTGCCCTCCCTGAAATGCGGCCGGTGCCGCCTCGCTCGGCGGCGGAAATCCGCGATTTCCCATGGAAACGGGATCCGTCACTGATCCACGCCGCCCTGGATCCATGTTTGCGATCGCCTGAAAACCGCGTCGGCCAGTCTCAAAGGCTTCTTCCATCATTAAGGGCTGCCTGGGAGCTCTCTTGGGGCTGTCTTGGACCCTCTTGGGGGCCACTCTTGCAGGAACAGCAACGGCATGCACCGAAACCGTCGGAGCTCCGCGCGCGATTCTCGGACCCGCGCTGGGTCTCCCCTCCCTGGCGGAACGCGCCAGGGGCGGCGCCAGAGGCGCCACCATGGGGGGGCCCAGCGCCGATGCAAGAAGTCCACGCGGAGCTCCGAAGATCTACATTTGGCCAGTTGTGTCCTGTCCGGATCTCGGGGGCCTCGCGAAACTCTTTGGGGGCCTCTGGAAACCGTTTGGTGGTCTCGTGGGCCCTATTGTCAGGTCGGGCAGGTCCCCCTTCAGGCGGAGTGTGAACGAAGGCGTAAAACAGATTCAATAACTTAAAAACTTGTCTCAAATAAACGCTCAAAGCATCGCCCCCGGACTATGGTTTAAACTATTTTTGAAGATCCCTCCCTCCTCTAGAGGGACAGGCCCGATTAAACCCTATTGAGAAGTATCGGGGCGTCTTGGGGACCTCCAGGGATGTCTTCACGCCGTCTTCGGCTGTCTTGCGGCTCTTATGGGCCTTCTTGGACTCCTGTGGAAGCCCACCTGAGCCGTCTCAGGAGCCTCTTGGGGCCCGCTTGGGGCAGTGGTGGAGCCATCTGAGGCCCTCTTGACGTTAGTATTGAGCCAAGAGAACGTGCTTATAGGGCATGTATGATAAAAACTCTGGGTGCCGAATTTTGGCCACTTGAGTCCTATGTTAGAATGTGGTGGAGCCTCTCGTGGGCCTGCTGTGACTGTCAGCGGGTCCTTGGATGCTCGTCGAGGCTTCCTAAGGCATCTTGGGGCATCCTGGAGCCCGCTTGGGTCCTCTTGGAGCCCTCTTGGAGCCCTCCTGGGCCGTTTGGGACGCCGCATGGGTCACAAGAAGCAGTATATAGAAATCCGCCGACCCTGTCGGCGTGTGACAGGGGCTGTTCCGTCGCCATCGCCGTCGCTGCCGCCGTCGCGTCGCCGCCGCCATCACGTTCCCTCCTTCCCCCGAGTCCGTCGCCGCTCCCCCCCTTTCCTTGAGCCCTCGTCCTCAAGCACGCCAGTCAAAGCGAAATACACCATCCCATCCACAGCAAAATTAAGTAACGTTGTCATTGAGTCGAAGGGAAGCCCCTTCCCTTTGATCCCTTCCCCGCGGGGGGTGGGGGTCCCGGGAGAGAGGGTCCCGAGGGGTGCACCCGGGCTAGAATACCACCCTCCCGGGGCCCGTGGCCCGCCCTCTCCCTCCCATTACCGTCGAGGGCCGAGGCCTCCATGGTCGGCGGCACCGGCCGTAAGGCCTTAGCAATCAAACGGTTGCTCCTCCTGTGCTCTGCAATTGGAGAACCTCTCCCCCTCAAAAACACTCCTGTCCAGCATCCGAGCGATAATATAATCGGCTGGCGATTCCCGCGGTGCAGTGGATCCGCGCTGCTGGGGTCGCGACTTCTGGTCAAAAGGCTCGCGTCGTCGAACGCAATGTTCCCTTGCACAAGAGCAGCGATCCCTCGGAAAGCACTGATGGACCAGAAAACAAACGACACCACCCCACCTACGGCCCCACGGGCCTTAGCGTATACCTGGGCATCTGGCGTAGGTTTTTGCATGGTATACGCTGCGGCCCCCCATGGGCCGTGGCGCAACATGAGGGGCCGCAGGTGGGGTGGTGTCGTTTGTTTTCTGGCCGCAGCTCCGAGACCACGATCCCGCAGACTACCACTCGAGGCGCGGGAGAATGCGGCATGCTGCCTGGCATGGCTGTTGTAGCTTTCTAAGGGCCCCCCCCGCCCTCCGTCCCATGCGAAGCTGACTGCACCGCCCCGGGGTGTCGTAAACGGGGGTTTGGCTAAACGGGGGCCTAGGCTTTTCCACATACCCCCGTGTACTGTACCCCCGTCTACGGCGCCCAGGGCCCCCGAAACAGGGGCATGGCCAAAGGTGGAAATCGGCGTTCCCCGTACCCCCCTCTGCTGTGCCCCCGTCTCTGGCGCCCTGAGCCCACCCCTGCTCCCGAGGGTCCCAGGGCGGCCAAAATGCCTCCCCGGCGCTCTCAACAGCGTCCCACACGCTCGGGATGGCCTCCAAGACGGGCCTGGCAGGCCACCAAGGCCGCGAAGATGGTCCAAGAGACATTCATGACGGCTCAAGGTGGCATCGAAACGGCCCAAAAAGGCATCCAAGAAGGCCCAAGAGCGCTCCGATAGAGCCTCCAGCAAAACCCGAAGAGGCCAAAACTATTGAGTTGCCCTTGGATTTTGAAGGATGTTCGCATTCTCGCCGTTTCGAGCTTTCGCCGTCTCAAGACAAGCCTCAAAGATGGCCTCGAGGCCCAGAAGGGCACCCAGAGGGCCCCAAGACGTCCCAAGAGGATGCCAAGATGGCCCAAGAGCGGCCCAAAAGGACCCCAAGTCGGCCCAAGAAGGCGCTCAGACGGCCCTCAAGGTCCCCACGAGAGCCCCAAGTCGACCCAGAGAGCCCCTAAATTGGACTCTGAAAGCGCCCTTACGGGCCAAAAGCGCCCTCAGACGGCCCAATGAGCCCCCTATGATCCCCCGAGGAGCCCCCAAAGCGCTGTCAAGGGGCCCCAAGAGGCCCCAAATAACCCCTCAAGAGGGGCGAAGTGTCACACGTGACGGCCTCCCGCGCCACTCGAATAGTCGCCACCCAACATGCTGACTGGCAGGGTGGCGGGACTTACCGCAGGCAACTGAATCCGCCGCCCCCTTTTGACTATCAAAGGGGTGCCTGGCGTGCCGGACGATATGGCTTTTGGTTTTGGTTCTTTTTTGAAAAGAACTCCCCCTGGGGCTTCGGCCCGTCCCGCCGGCCACCCGGAAAACCCGCCTGTCGTCGCCTTCGTTGCCCCAAGATGGCCCAAGATGGCCTCCAAGACGGCCAAGATGTCCCAGGACGGCCTCCGAGTTGCTCGAAGACGGCCAAGATGGCCTCAAAGACGGCTAAGATGGCTCCAAGATACATCCAAGACGGCTCAAGATGGCCTCAAGATGGTCTAAGACGGTCCAAAAGGCCCGCAAGAGGCCTCCAAGACGGCCCAAGAGGTCTCCAAGAGGTCCTCCAGGAAGGCCCGACGAGGCCAAAATCATTGATTTTCCTTAGGTTTTTCCCTACCTGGGCTCTGCCTAGAAGGGTTCTTACTCTCTTAGCTTAAAGGGGCCGGGCAGTGTAAAGCGCCCCGGGCGGTTCCCCCAGTCCCCGCCCCGCGGTTCCCCCAGTCCCCGCCCCCTGGGTTCACCCAGCTTAGCTTAGCTTAGCTTAGCTAAGCTTAGCTTGGTTTAGCTTAGCTTAGCTTAGCTTATCTCATCTTAGCTTAGCTTAGCTTAGCTGAGCTTTGCCTAGCCTAGCTTAGCTAAGCGTAGCCTAGCTCATCTTAGCTTAGCTTAGCTGAGCTTAGCTTGGCTTAGCTTAGTTTAGCATGGCTTAGCTTAGCTTAGCTTAGTTTAGCTTAGCTTAGCTTAGCTTCGCCTAGCCTAGCTTAGCTTAGCTTGGCTTAACATACCTTAGCTTAGTTTAGCTTAGCTTAGCGCAGCGCAGCATAGCGCAGCGCAGCATGAGCACAGCATAGCATTGCATAACATCGTCAATCATAGCATAGCATAGCATAGCACAGCATAGCATAGCTCTGCATAGCATCGCATAGCATATCATAGCATTGCATCGCATAGCATAACATAGCATTGCTTAGCATAGCAGAGCGCAGCATAACATTGCATAGCACAGCACATCACAGCATAGCATAACATATCATAGCGTATCATATCACAGCGCAACATAGCATAGCATAGCATAGCATAGCATAGCATAGCATAGCATAGCATAGCATAGCGCAGCATATAATGTCATATCATAGCCTAGCATAGCATAGCATAGCCCAGCATAACATAGCATAGCATAGCATAGCGCAGGATAGAATAGCATAACACTACTACTACCGCGACTGCCACAACTGCGACGATGAGGAGAAGGAGGAGGACGGCGTTTACCGTTACTAGTAATATTGCTCTCCTAGGGGCTC